TTGGAATCTCGCGAGGCGGGATCGTGGATGCGCACTGCTGAGGAGTCCCAAAATAGGACGAATCGGCCGTCCAGTGCTTCCAGGTTTTCCATGTTGGTCTTCACTTAACTCATGATTTCAACTATAAAAATACTGAAATCTCCACAAAACCCCTTCTGAAATAAAAATAACACATATTTATATTCTTTTTTTTTAGGAGCTGACAAAACGTGGTACAACTTCATTTTGTGAAAATCGAATATGTTTATTTTATTATACATGTGCTGTGAACACTAACACAATGCATCATATCTTACAAGGTTGTCAACAATTTCTTATTCATGATCATCTTGAACGATATGGACTTCTGTGAGATCCGTTCTTTTTTCATTTGCTGTTTATCCAATTAGAATTGCTGACCTTTTCGCTTTCAACGTTTCACTTCTCACCACATATATTTACATTTTATAGACTGATGTTGTGTGTAATTATCTTTGATAGGATTTTTATTGCAAACGTTTTGTTCAAAATAGCCCAATCTAAATTCAATTCATCTTCCTGTAAAAATGTTTGATAATGTGTTCAGTATTACGTTAATTGATAGGATCATTATGTTGAATGAGCTGTAATCTCTTAATTTTACTTGGGTATTAAATATACTTTTTTGATTTATGAGCTCCTTTTAGCGATGGATAGTTAATGTAATGGATCAGTTAGTCTGCAGATATTTAGTTAAGTTTAATTCGGTTGAAAGTTGATTCATATTGCTCTTAAGTTATTGTATGTGAAAGAAATTCTTAAAACCGATGTTATTGTAGAACATCAACGTTGATGTTCTATATCGAAATGATTGGAGGGGCCTACTAGAGTTAGACGAGAATGGTGACGAACCAACTAACGCTGAAGTCACACTTCGCGACCAGCACCTTATGTGGATTGCCCCCATCGACGTAACAAGGGACTATGGACGCTATGGAGACTGTACAACACAAAGGACTTTATTACAAGAATATATTAGTTAAGGTACAACCACGGAAGTACAGAAGCGAAAATACGACCACTGCCGCGTGGGCCAGTCCATGGCGTGTAATTGATTGATGCGCGTTGACTATCCTTGACCTTGACAGGGATCAATGATCTGTTCGATATTCAGTGACCCTACATTATCCAGTGAAGTACATACTAGAATCAAACTTGAAGTGAGCCTAGAATATAAGTATGGTTGATTTTATTATAAGGATGGGCTAAACGTTTTAGTAGTTTGATTTTAGAATTCCACACAACTATGAGTAGTCTAAGAGAATAAATAGGAGACTCAATATTTTTTTCACAAATTAAAGCTACTTTTTGTAAGATCCATTTAGACGGTTTTATGTGTGAAAATTCCTCCATGAATACATTTGAAACTTGTTTTTATTGGATTCTTTAGTTGTACATTATGTTGGTCTTTTTGATGCTATTTGAGATGGTAATATCTTATTATAGTTTCCTCGTTTTTCTTTTGCCTTCACTGAGTTTCTATGTTTCTTCCTGAACTATATTTATGTTGTTTTAGTCGGTACTTCATCTTCGCGGCAGCCATAGTGATTGTTCCCTATATGAGTGTGTTGCTTAAGTTGACTGAGATTGTTCATTTTGATTGTGAACTGAAGCACTTTTTCAGAATCGGAAACGCTTTGTGTTACAAAGCAACAAACTATTATCTTTTGAACGGATTTTTACTTGATCTTTGCAAAAGGGACAGAATAACACGTATTTTCTGGTGCACCTGTTAATTTTCTTACATTCCTTAGCAATTTGTCTATTTATTGTAACTTAGATCGATTATTGAGGGAACAATTATTGGTTGACTAACTGAGCGGTAACATTTGTTTAGGTAATATAGTAAATTGGTATTTATGATGAAATTTAGAACCGTTATTCCCATAATCCCCTTGTTTTTATTTCAATTGAGAATATCGCGTATCTAACAACCGAGACAGTTATTCCTCAGCCAAACATTAGTTTGGATTTTACATTCTTCACACCGAATAGCTGAAAATGCCATAATCATATGAGATAATTTTTTCAACCATGTAAAAATGACCCCTGAAAATTCATAGTAGCTTTTTATTAAGAATTCCATCGCATCATTGCTGGATAAACTCTTATTCTACTATCAATCGCCGTAAAAAATGCCTGACCTCAATGTCAGTACTTTCGCAGGGAATCAACTTGAGAGCACTCTTTTCTTGATTTTCTTTACCGATCTCTGGTTCACGGATCTTAATCTGCGCTTTCATAAGCAAGATAAAGAGGTCTACAAGAAATGAAGGGGATCCACTCAGGCCCCAGAACGATATCACGACGTTAGGGAAATGGGTGGTTAGCAGTAAAATTAAATTTATCCTATCGAAATGTCATCTGATCAAGGGCGATGTGACAAAAACAACTTATATCTTTCACGGAAATGCTCTTGTGATTGTCTCCGAACAACGCGATCTAGGACTGCTAGGCGTAGGTTATTTGGAAACCGGTCAAAACCACTTAGAAGATGTGGCCGACGCAACTCTTCTCATTATACAGAGAGCTTGTTGCTAACGCCTTACTGTTGTTTTCAATGAATGGAAAATACTTGATGAATGTCTCGCAACCTGTCTACTATTATAATTATTACATACCACCAGCCAATGGCCTTTCCATTTCCCATCATATAAGGTTACTAGTTACTCTGTTTATTCATAATGTTAACGTATATAATTCATTATTGAATGGTTTACTCTATTCTTCTGACCATCACCTCTATTTCATTTTAATACCAAACAACCTGTCGCCTAATAATGTGAAAGCTGCTGGCTCCTCAAAAGCTATAAGCATGAGACAAACACATTTGTTACAATTTGAAGACATATAGACCCCCAAATAACTAGTCAAGTTGAATCAATAAACTACTGACTAATAACCATTTCTATGTCGTGAAGATCGTACCAAAACTGAAGGAAGTGAGTTCAAAAAGTTTCTTAGTTTGCTTTAGGTTACCACAAAGATTTTTAATATTGGATATTAGATCTGTGGTTAGCAAAAACATGAAAATCGGTTTACTCACTCTACAATTAAGCAGTCAAAGAAACCATTCTTTTACACCAATTGCAGAACACGAACTCGTCGTTGAATTCCAAACCAAATTATGGAAGGGAGTGAATCTCAAATAATATAAGAATATCTGAACAAAGCAGAGGCCATAGAAAACTATTTTCAGATAGTTTTCCCTCAGGAGCCTCTTCTAGACAAAGCATCAGACTCAAATAGAATGTTACAAAATCGGCCCCTCATCGTGAACCTTAATCGAGTCGGCTTACTAAAGGCCCTAAGCACTTCAACAAGATCGAATGGACTACACCCCGATATCCTGAGGTGAATAGCACCATAAAATACGGCCTCACTGACCACAATATCCAATAGGTTGCTTGGCCAAGATAAATTACTTAGGGACTGAAAGGATGCAATATGTTATATCGGTTGAATGCGTGCCATCCTTAATATATGAGTGATAAGACCGCCAATTAGAGAGGAGTGAATTTATCGATCGGTTGATTGATACATAAAATCCGTATGAGCAGTCTTGAGCACTTATCAGTCCTGCTATCTACCTAGCCCAGTCAGTTAAGTCCAGACCACCAATAAAAGCCTGTACAGTATAAATCATTATTCTCAAACATACCGGGTTTATATACTATACAAACTGACCACATCGTACCATAAAATAGAAAATAATATATGTTTAAGATTTGGTCAAATGTGGCTATGAATAGAGGGAACAGTAATTAATTGACTAGGGATAACTCAAGAATGGAAAATCGTATAATAATAGCCTATAGGTCAAAATAAAGTTTATAATAAGAGGAACACGAATATGAATAGTTAAGTTACTTAAGACTAACACAATAGGAAATATACGCATCATATTGGTCCATAAATAGTTCTCAAAGTTACCATTCACGAATCTCCACGGGATATAACACAATCGTCAGTTTTATACATACGATAGGATCAACACAACATCCACCACAATAAATACCTGTCAGTCTCACTAGTGTTGTAGTTAAAATAGTGTGATGACAGATTAAAAAGGTTATAATGACATTCGTGGAAATCGACAAGTTGTTGAATAGCGAACAACATGGTTTCACAATAGGATTTTCTTGCAGGAGAGCAAAGGACAGAGGTCTTAGATAATGAATGTTTTCTATGTAAACTTCAGCAAAGTAAGTGATAAGTCGCCGAAAAAAGACTACTCTTGAAGCTAGAAAATCTACGGATTACGGACCTCTCCTAAAGTGGATCAAGGATTTATTGGTTGGTCGTAGACAGAAAGTAAGAATAAATTACGAATTATCCTCCTGGAAACCAGTAGTCAATGGAGAACTGTATGAATCTGTCATAGGCCCTTCGCTTTATAATATAATTATTATTGTTAGCTTCGTTCAATATCATATTTTAAGTAGGACATAGAGTTCTCAGCACAAAGTATTTTAACCGGTTTTCCTTTCTTAATTTTTAGTCGATCCTGACGATAAATATTGAGTGATCACCAGTTAGAACTCAGCAGTCCAAAATATCACTATCTGAATAGTGCACATTCTTTACGCTGTATATTGCCTGCAACCACGATATCTCTGATTGGCCACTGTAATTGTAAAGCGAAAATTTGAAAACTTTTCAGAAATGCACCTTCAGTCTTCAGCAATAAGTAGAGGAGGTATATTGACCTATATTATTCTTCGGAGTTTGTTACACCGTGGAGATTCGGTCTCGTTCTGAATATATCAACAGAAGGTGCTGATAATATGAGTCATCAATTCTTGGAACCTGTTGCCCGAAGAATCGGTGTTAGCCTCTTCAACTGACTCCTTCCAAAGAAGGCTAGGCAATGATAGAAGCCTAATTAAAAAGATCTAACACATACATTACACCTTCCGTCCTCAGTATACAAATCTGAAAACTTGTTTCTGTGGTTTTCTTTATTGTTCTTGTTCAAGGTTATTGGAGCGGGGAGGTGAGTTTGAACTCCTCGAATGTTGTCGTTGGTCGCTTTTACAAATTAGTGTAAGTGCTTTATATATGGTCGCTGAGTTGTACACTGATCATTGCTTCCTTCGATAATTTCACTGACCCTGCTTGTTACATTCCACAGAATTTGGCGTGTCCCCATTCTAACTTTAAATCTTACCAAGACCAAAGGTTGAAAAGAATTCTGCTGAGATAGTTTCTGAGTTTCAATTGTATTAGCCTAATAATGTCTGCGGATACTTTACTTTCTTTCTGATGAGTAAATGTCAAACATAAACAGGTGGAAATTATAAGGGAACAAATAAGGGTAACCGACATCCTGTCTCCACTTTCTTGGCCCTTTGTTTCCTCATTTATCCAGACATGATTTCTACTTTGCCTTGTTCCAACTCCACTTCAAGTATATGTTTGGTTCGTTCGTTCCTTTTACTTTTGTATGTAAACACTACTTCACACATATTCGTTTATAAATTTTCGTTATTCTGTTATGAATATCGGACGTATATTACCTAGGTTACAAAATAAGCAAGATATGATATCTGTTTACGATGAATCTATGGATGTACTCATAAAACTATAGTAACCTCTGCAGCAAACCTAAGCAATGTGCATAGGTAAAGAGCAATACAGGTGAGCTATATCAACTTGAACTATTCTCACCTGAGTCTCCCCGCTACTGTTGTGCGTAAAGCAGAATTCTCGTATTTTTAAATTGAAACATTTTTAAAGCAATTAGTCGGCCAATATGACGAACAGCTTTTACTTATCATACTTAGGAGAACTCACAATATACGGGTCACCACCTGATAAAGTCTGACTATAGCTTCATTGAGAGGGTGGACAGCATAATGAATCCCTACAGTTATTATGCCTATGAATTATCGCTTCTATCAAAAGGTTTAGTGTGATAAGTCAAGTTTTTTGACCCTCCTCTACTTTTGTGTATTGTCACAAAGATCGTATAAGAGCGATTTAATAGCATACGGCCCTCGATCTTCCACCTCAATTTATTCGTTGTTAGCCCTGTAAAACGCTTGATAATCACTAAAGTGCAGTTATTAATAAACATCTTTCTCATAACCCATCAATTTATTAAGAAAAGCTTAGTGGTAAACGCTGTATCGCTATTTCAAACCATATTGTATACTGTTCCTATCTGTGATTTCAAAATTTGGTTCGTTAAAGCCCTCACTATGGGCCTCAGGCTATCTGATATTTTGTCCACTAATTTTGATTCTCAAGAGATAGAAACAACTAAAGTACATTTTTTCCTAGGTTATTGGTCGTTCAACATATTTTTAAAAAGAAATTCGCTGAACAAGTTCCATTTAGATCTTGCGATCATTATATTTTAGTAATTTTGGCAATCATAACAGGTGAGAGAGCATCTTGTCCTGAATTAGGACATTTTATCGTCATAAACGATAATGTTCTTTGCGTGACATTTTCAATTTCGTATGTTATTGACACAAGACTGAATAGTTCGATCTGTTTGCATCGGTGATGAAATGGACAATTGGTCGCTAGTTTTTGACGTTTTATAAATGACCTTATTAAGTCGAGTGATATTTTAAAAAAGATTATTCATAGTAAATTACTTGTGTAACGTTATGAAACTCAGTACTTTTTAGAAAATAGAGTAGCGTCGAAGGAGATTAACTATGCTCTATCAAGTCGTTAGTTGCATGTGCAAGTTCGTATGTCCTGTCAGTTACATATAAATGTTCGGTCTTTGCTGACTTCAAACCACCCAATAAACTTCCACATATCATATCGCTATTTAGTATAAACGACATCTTAGTCAAAAAATAGTTCACTTATGCAAATAAACAACTTCCTAATTATTCTTAACCAAATAGGACAGGACAACTCCAAGCTCTTCAGCTGCAAATAATAGAGATTGGAGTAGGTGAGTGTCTACTATTTCACTTATAACTAAGATACCAATTGACTTACAAAACAACAATGTCGTTATTCGAATGACTTTAATAATCTAGGTTTTTGTGTGGCGCATATGTACCTGGTGCCCTTTTGTACCAATATATATGTGTTTAAATAAATAAAATAAAATAAAATAATCTAGAAGTGCTGGCATGTTGTAGGGATATAACCAAAAGAACGGTTGAGTCGTACCTCAGTAGTTTGATAAGGCAAATTGCTTAATCATGATTTATTCTCCAGGGACTTCTCACCTTAGCAGTTGTAAACCATTGCAAGCAATAAGGTAAAATAACAGTTTTTCATTAATAAACGAATTCGCGTTCTACATTGGTTTATTATTTCTTATCCAGTCGGTGATGTATGGTCATAATTATGATGAAACTTTGTAATAAATTTACTTTACAAACAGAGTGTATTACATGCAACCTATCTGGAAAACTTCGTCCGAATTTCTCTCCAACGGATGCTGATTGGCTAGTGAACATTAAACTGAAATTTTGTTTTGGAAAAATTTACACACTTAACGTTTCCGCGTATCTGTTTAACCGGACTTCCTATGGCTTTCCTTATCGGTGGCATAGAAGGGTGAGTACGTAATTGTTTCTCGCTCTCTGAATTCTATGTAAAACACGTCTTGAATGTAGGCTTTTTTAACTTGCTTACTGAATCCTTAGGTTTGTGAAAAATCACAACCCTCGTGGGTTGCGGTGAAATTCATTGGACGTTTCTTGGTTGATATTATTTTCATCGGGTTAGTTACACAATAAGATAGTAAAATGTTATAGCTTATTTTCGGTTGACGTTCCGTTTCACATCTTTTTGGCAACACTAAACTTTAAATTTCTAACTTACTTAGGCTGCCTTACCTTCGCATTCTGAAAAGTTCAAACTTACATAAACTGTGTAATCAGGTAATATCATTATGCTTCGCTAAGTAGATTTTCTTTATAATCTAATGCAGAAATACGAACATGGTTGTAATATGTTCTAAATATATATTGTAACCATTTATACTGTTATTATCACCTTAGGTGAGTGTGTATGCAACAACTGTCTTTCTCGGCTTATAAGTACAACCTTTTCAACTAAATATTACACTTGAGTGTAATAGCCCATAATAAGGGGTACAACTAAACTTGACTAATAATAAAGATTTTAGGCTTGTAAAATTAACGAAACACTATTCTGGGAAGAGCGGCATTGTAGCGCGCTGGATTAAATCTTGAAAAAAGTTGAAAAAGTCATTCATTTCTCAATTATCAACCTCCATCTGATAGATTCAAATTCTATTATGAATGCAATAACTCCGAAGCCGTGACTCGCAGCTTTTGGCAGGTTGACTACAATAATACGGATCCAAAAATTAATTTCCATGCTTTTAGCACTTCAGCTATTGATCGTTAGCGGGCTCAAAATTGATCATTAAAGTTACTACGTCATCTCTGTGAACTTAGGTGTGGGTGATTAATGAGTGCATGTTTAATATTAGTTTATATATCAACTTTTAAAGATCTTATTTCAAGGTCATTAAACACTCCTATAACACCTCTTAACAATAATACGTTTGTAAGCTTTGTTGAAAGGCTTAACATTTCCACGCTTATTGACTCCATTTAGCCAAAAATCCTTTTTTATTTATCATTTTTATTTCCTTCTGTGCTATAATATATCAACCTGAACTGATATACTATTTTACAATGTTTTACTTTATCTTAATGTGGTGATCCATTCATTATTCTTTACTATGCGTAGAGGTGCTACGATTTCTCGAATGGTTTTACTGGACTCCTCAGGAAATCAGTTAGGTTATAGTGAAGGACCTCCCACAAATCCATGGGTAAGTTATTTTATGATTCTCGTATACATCTCTTTTTAACTAGCATGCTTAAATTTTATTTGGAATCTCTTTTATAAGCTTTTACTACGTAGAGGTCACAAAACGTCAGACATTTTTTTAAAAAACTACTTTTTTCACTCATTAGGATAATAAAAATATATTACCTTTATTTATATCTTAGTTTTGTTGAGAATATATTCTAGAATTTAGTTCCATTGAATCGATTTTATCTGTCCTAGTTTGATTTGGGTTAACAGACCATTAAAAGCTGTTGAGCTATTTCATCTTAGTATTGGACTCCTCAACACTGCGAAGCCCATCCTAGAGACCAAAACCAGGACTTTTGTGGTTAATTTTGTGGTTAATACCTACTCATCCAAACCACCGGTTCAGTGGTGCGATTTTAACTTCAACCAATTAGCTATATAACGTGACTGTCATCTAATCCTATTTCAAATAATTGTTTTACCCCTAACACACCTGAACTCCAGTAGTTATGGCTTCTTACTAGAACTTCAGGAGTGTCTTGAAGTCATTAGTTGGTTGATTATTATAGTTTGGTTCAAAAGGTTTTGTAGAGATTGCCTCAATTTGTTGGTTGTATTCGTTAGTTCTAAAAAATCTCCCACTAGAAATAAGCAACTGTCCACTAATCCCTGACTTTTTTATGATACCTCAGTCGAGATTATTCTATAACAAATACAACGTTCATTAATTGTTCGTATTCCGGAAAGTGCAGCGATTTATATTCTTTGATTTCTAAAATTATTAGTTACTAGGTTTAGAAGAAGCTGCTGAACGTATTTTGAATCTCGTAAAAGATGTATTAATCAATTCTAACCGACAACCAACAGAAACACTTGCCCGTCTAGTAAGTATTTCTCCGAAAATATATATTGTTACTCGATTTTCGTAATATAACCTTTATGAACCATTTTGTTAATGAGTTTGAATGAGTTGATTGTGTAATTTAAAACTCTTTCATATAAATTCGAGTCAGCTGTTCAAATAACTATGTTTATGACAAATTATGATACTCTACTGTTGTAAGTGTTTTCTTATTTTGATGACTTTTCTACCCCTGATTTAAAAATAGCACCAATGGCTTCGTTAAATGCTGTATGCTTGGAGAGATATGATACGTGTTCGTGAATTTGTAGCTTATTCACTTTTCACTGTTTAGTATGTATATGATATCAAGCATTTCCAGGTATTTTCCTGTCCATTTAGTGGGTGATTGCTATATATCAAAGTATAATTTTGACAGAGGATTTTGTTTCAAGATCTACCTTTCACCTTATTTGCTTCTTTCATCATCTAATTTGGGATGGGCTACAGTTTCATATTCTTAGAAGACCTCTGTGGATAGCTTTAGATGACTAAAATGAAATCCTTAGTGAAAATTATTCTGTTATATACAGCTTTCACCTGCTAAATGAACTTGAAAGTGCTCGAAAATGTCGGATATTGTACTTCCATTAAACATTAAGAAAGTATGGTTAGGTTCACATATTTGAACACAGTTAAAAGTTCTTGGCACAACGACTAAGAATAAAATTAAAATAATATATTCTTTCACACAAATTTAATAAACCAAACTTAGTATTTAGAATCGATGAGAACGTGCAAAGTAGATCAATATCGATGTATGGTCAACTTTCTAACACATTTTCGTTTGACCATTTTTACTGTAATTTGTTGTTATAATTGTATTTGCTGCTAAACGACCCAGCTACTCCTATTGCGTATTCTTATACGATGATACTCGACAAGACCCCAAAATCAGAACACGTTGAACAGGAATGAAATTGTATTCAAAATAACAATGGTGGGTGGACAGCAATCACTGGTTTGAATAACTTTCATATATTTATAGTATATACATAAGAAGCTTCTAGATTTTTCTCAAATACTTTGCCAGGGCTCATTGATTTGGAATTAGCCAATCAGCGCGCACCATCACGGTCATGCACATAACATACCCTAATGCGGTTTAATTTCCCCTAACATTTGTGTATAGTAATATTTACTCGGTCCATACATTTGGATGAATGACATAAGTCACGTCTGTTTTTTTAAACAATTTTTTTATCCGCCTTAATCAAAAAATCTTCATTTCATTTTTTTTCAATCCGTTTCGTCCAATGAAATTCCTAATTGTAAATGCGTTATAATTGGTTATGTAATTCTTGAAATTCTTATAAAAGCTCTGTACTTATCGATATAGAAAATTTTCTTCACAATATGGACGTCAGTAACGTGCAAATTACAGGCTCTGTTGTTCCTCACATAGTCACTGAAACGGAAAACGTATTTTTGAATACATTGTATCTTGTAGCGTTTCCATCACTGCAAGCGTTAAAGAGCACCATTAGAACTTATGAAATAGCAACGTACTGCCATTATGCGGTGAGAGATTCTCATTTCCATGGAGATCGGAAGCCGTATATTAAATTTGTATGTTGGAGAAAGGGCTATAAAACACCTAGCGGTTCTTCACAGCCGATTAGACGAAGGAGGTAATCTGATTAGTGTTATTATATTGTTCATTGAGGACTTCAATGGACACTCAACGTCCGGCCTTCATCTTTTGTAAGTTTCGTGAAGGTTATTGGACTGTTGTTCGTGGGAATGTGCATCACAATCACAAGTGCAATTCCCTGAGGTACGACTGTAATACTTGGATGCGCCGATTAACGGCGGCGGAATTGGAAACAGTGAAGCCACTGTTGATATCTGGAACATCAGCATTCAATGTTATACACTACACATATCAATCCTATGGGAAACGTCTTAATGCTCAAGATGTTTTCATTATGCATCACAAAGTGTTCTCACAGGCCAACCTTCCTGGTAAGCAATGTGCATATTTATACTATTAACTGTAGGTGATTACGGTAAATTGAAAAATCACATAACGTCACTTGGTGGCTGTTGTGATTATCAATTTGATGCAGATCATAGTCTGTCGTACTTCTTCTTCGCTACAGCAGACCAGATTAATCTGTGCAATAGATTTTTAGATGTTGGTTTTGATGGAACATACAAAACCAATAATGAAAATATGTTTCTGTATCACGTGGTGGCTCTGGATATGAATTTCATGGCAATACCTGTTTGTATTGCATTTATAAGTCGCGAAACATCGACTTTGCTGTCCAGTTTCCTCTCGTTCTTCCGCCAATTGAGTAACAATAGAGAGGTTATCGGTATTGTTACCGATGATTCACCTGCTATAGCTGCTGTCATAACGCAGGTGTATCCGAATTCACACCACCTTTTGTGCTGCGTGCACCTGCTTCGAAATGTCATCAAGAGGGTAAGCTTTCCTTTCTTTAGAATTAACCCATTCATCGTATTCGTAGAGGCTACGATCTGATCTTCTTCAAATATTCTACCGTCTTATGCTAACAAGAAATGTGGAAAGGTAAATCGAAATATGCTTTACAATGTTTTGTAGCTTCCAACGGTATGTGTCATTTATCGAAGCAGCAGACGGAAATTTCTACCAATATTTGAGAGACCAGTTATTGTCCAAAAAGCACAAGTGGTCGAACGCTTTTAGACCATCTGTAATGCTGCTAGATCAAAGCAATACAAATTTCGTTGAGACGACCCATCCAATTTTAAAGTTGCATAAGCTGAACAGAAACACACCCGTGTTCAGATCGATATTCAGTGTTCTGCTTCGCACTGGATATTGGATAGAAGCTAGAGTTCAAAAGTACTCCACTGAATGCCGTAGCAGAGCTGTGCTGGGTCGCGATCCACAACTACGTCGTCTTCAGGAAACACTTACACCTGCTGCATGTTAACTGCTGAAGCGGCACTTGCGTGTTCCTGTTACTGACTTCGTATTGTCGGGGGAGTTCTTCACGGCCGTTGATACTACAGGAACTTACACAGTCTCCAGAAATCCTATTAGTTGTTCCTGTATTTTTTATGTAGAACACAGAGTCGTATGTCGTCACATCTTGACATACTGTTCGCACGCTAACGTCGAAATTCACAGAGAAAGCATTGGTGACGGCTGCATTCCAACAGCTACGTAATCAGAGTAACGATTGACAATGATTTACAGGTACAAGTCAGGCAGACAAACGTCCTAACATCGATTCACGGCTTATGTCCGCGAAACAGTGTACGGCTGTCCATAACTATGCTCATCAGTTGCTTCACGATGGATTACCTTCTACTACCATCACAATGCCCATCGTCCGCAATACCTCAGGCACCAACCATCAACAGAACGTAGATTTGGATGCGACCTTAAGTGATAACGAGATTGAAGTACTGTCTATGAACTCAGAAGAGTTTACGGACCGAGACAATGAGGAAGACGAACGTGCGCACAATGACCGACTGTGTGATATTTGCCATCTACGTCAGCCGCCCAGTGAAATAGCTGATGGAAGTGCTTGGATATTTTGTCCATGCAATGCTATGTTTCATTCGTTCTGTGCCTACAACCCATCAGAAGTATCACCTGGGTTCAACTGTCCCATGTGCGGCGCTGTCACAGACTCATAGAGTCATTGATCAGGACCTGTGAAGAGACCGAGTAAAGGCCCTTTTCAAAGCCACCCACAATTTGACTTAAATTTTGTTTGAATTTCTTGTTTCCATTTTAAGGAGGAGTCATGAAACTATCAATAATTCATTTTACATTCATATGATTTGGTTAATAGGTACAGTTGAGAAATGTAGTAAGATCAGTTCACTAGTACAATAAGATCATTTCTATTGCAAAGGTCAAGTGAACAGACACTGATCAGTCATTACTATTCCATAGTAATGTAGCTGTAGATTAATAATAATCATCGCTCACTTTATTACAGCTTTTAAGGTTTTTCAAATTTAAGGTTTCAGTAAACGATTCCGTACAGAAAACAACGTCATATAATGAACACTAATCTGTCAAACAAAAGTATATGCAAAGATGTGTACGATCATTCTAATCACTTAGCGATGGTAGGCGATTGTACTGAGATCAGTTCACTAGTACAACAGGATAATTTCTATTGGGAAGGTCAAGTAAACAGACACTGACCAGTCATTACAATTCCATGGTAATAAAGCTGTAAACTTTTTTCTAGATCAATAATAATAAAGCGAACATCGATGACCACTGATCAGTGTCTCTACTGTACCTATTAACCAAATCATATGAATGTAAAATGAATTATTGATAGTTTCATGACTCCTCCTTAAAATGGAAACAAGAAATTCAAACAAAATTTAAGTCAAATTGTGGGTGGCTTTGAAAAGGGCCTTTACTCGGTCTCTTCACAGGTCCTGATCAATGACTCTATGAGTCTGTGACAGCGCCGCACATGGGACAGTTGAACCCAGGTGATACTTCTGATGGGTTGTAGGCACAGAACGAATGAAAAATAGCATTGCATGGACAAAATATCCAAGCACTTCCATCAGCTATTTCACTGGGCGGCTGACGTAGATGGCAAATATCACACAGTCGGTCATTGTGCGCACGTTCGTCTTCCTCATTGTCTCGGTCCGTAAACTCTTCTGAGTTCATAGACAGTACTTCAATCTCGTTATCACTTAAGGTCGCATCCAAATCTACGTTCTGTTGATGGTTGGTGCCTGAGGTATTGCGGACGATGGGCATTGTGATGGTAGTAGAAGGTAATCCATCGTGAAGCAACTGATGAGCATAGTTATGGACAGCCGTACACTGTTTCGCGGACATAAGCCGTGAATCGATGTTAGGACGTTTGTCTGCCTGACTTGTACCTGTAAATCATTGTCAATCGTTACTCTGATTACGTAGCTGTTGGAATGCAGCCGTCACCAATGCTTTCTCTGTGAATTTCGACGTTAGCGTGCGAACAGTATGTCAAGATGTGACGACATACGACTCTGTGTTCTACATAAAAAATACAGGAACAACTAATAGGATTTCTGGAGACTGTGTAAGTTCCTGTAGTATCAACGGCCGTGAAGAACTCCCCCGACAATACGAAGTCAGTAACAGGAACACGCAAGTGCCGCTTCAGCAGTTAACATGCAGCAGGTGTAAGTGTTTCCTGAAGACGACGTAGTTGTGGATCGCGACCCAGCACAGCTCTGCTACGGCATTCAGTGGAGTACTTTTGAACTCTAGCTTCTATCCAATATCCAGTGCGAAGCAGAACACTGAATATCGATCTGAACACGGGTGTGTTTCTGTTCAGCTTATGCAACTTTAAAATTGGATGGGTCGTCTCAACGAAATTTGTATTGCTTTGATCTAGCAGCATTACAGATGGTCTAAAAGCGTTCGACCACTTGTGCTTTTTGGACAATAACTGGTCTCTCAAATATTGGTAGAAATTTCCGTCTGCTGCTTCGATAAATGACACATACCGTTGGAAGCTACAAAACATTGTAAAGCATATTTCGATTTACCTTTCCACATTTCTTGTTAGCATAAGACGGTAGAATATTTGAAGAAGATCAGATCGTAGCCTCTACGAATACGATGAATGGGTTAATTCTAAAGAAAGGAAAGCTTACCCTCTTGATGACATTTCGAAGCAGGTGCACGCAGCACAAAAGGTGGTGTGAATTCGGATACACCTGCGTTATGACAGCAGCTATAGCAGGTGAATCATCGGTAACAATACCGATAACCTCTCTATTGTTACTCAATTGGCGGAAGAACGAGAGGAAACTGGACAGCAAAGTCGATGTTTCGCGACTTATAAATGCAATACAAACAGGTATTGCCATGAAATTCATATCCAGAGCCACCACGTGATACAGAAACATATTTTCATTATTGGTTTTGTATGTTCCATCAAAACCAACATCTAAAAATCTATTGCACAGATTAATCTGGTCTGCTGTAGCGAAGAAGAAGTACGACAGACTATGATCTGCATCAAATTGATAATCACAACAGCCACCAAGTGACGTTATGTGATTTTTCAATTTACCGTAATCACCTACAGTTAATAGTATAAATATGCACATTGCTTACCAGGAAGGTTGGCCTGTGAGAACACTTTGTGATGCATAATGAAAACATCTTGAGCATTAAGACGTTTCCCATAGGATTGATATGTGTAGTGTATAACATTGAATGCTGATGTTCCAGATATCAACAGTGGCTTCACTGTTTCCAATTCCGCCGCCGTTAATCGGCGCATCCAAGTATTACAGTCGTACCTCAGGGAATTGCACTTGTGATTGTGATGCACATTCCCACGAACAACAGTCCAATAACCTTCACGAAACTTACAAAAGATGAAGGCCGGACGTTGAGTGTCCATTGAAGTCCTCAATGAACAATATAATAACACTAATCAGATTACCTCCTTCGTCTAATCGGCTGTGAAGAACCGCTAGGTGTTTTATAGCCCTTTCTCCAACATACAAATTTAATATACGGCTTCCGATCTCCATGGAAATGAGAATCTCTCACCGCATAATGGCAGTACGTTGCTATTTCATAAGTTCTAATGGTGCTCTTTAACGCTTGCAGTGATGGAAACGCTACAAGATACAATGTATTCAAAAATACGTTTTCCGTTTCAGTGACTATGTGAGGAACAACAGAGCCTGTAATTTGCACGTTACTGACGTCCATATTGTGAAGAAAATTTTCTATATCGATAAGTACAGAGCTTTTATAAGAATTTCAAGAATTACATAACCAATTATAACGCATTTACAATTAGGAATTTCATTGGACGAAACGGATTGAAAAAAAATGAAATGAAGATTTTTTGATTAAGGCGGACAAAAAAAATTGTTTAAAAAAACCGACATGACTTTATTGTTATTCAAATTTATCTATCACTAAAATAAAAAAAACACTATTATCATTAGTACATAAGGCATGTGACATTATGTTGGGAATGTCACATCCCCAGAACTCACTTAGTAAACGTCTTATTTTTGTAATTTTATTCTGAAAGTTTGAATTTTTTTATTTTCTCGCCAAAAGAGCGCACTTTTATCTTCAGATTGTATTTCCTACTTAGAAGGACCCTTAATATCATTGGTTTGTTGTCCTTTCTAATAGGCTTTTTTGTGACGTTCCCCAAGGGCATCTTACGCTGTATATATACGCTTGAGTTATGTTTGCTGTTTTTGTTCGTACTTCTGGCTGTCTGTGGAATACATTTTTCCTCCTTTGAACCTAAACGTTTCCTCTAGTTAGCAGGGCTTGGACACATCAAAATAGTTAGCTTATCTTGTTATTGTGTCACTGTCTTTGTTCCGTTCGCAGATTTAAGTGATCTCGTAATCTCTTCAAGCATAACACATTATTAGTAGTATCCTGAAGTTTCTTTTCTAATCTAAAGCCAAAATTAACACTTTGATATTTATTGGAGCTTTTTATTATCTGTGGGCTGAATGGATTGGTTGTGAGGCTTTCATTATTCTGAACAACACATCAGCACGTGATTAAAAAAGAAGTGAGCTATTAGAATCTCTCCACAATTAATTAACGAATTGTTCTTTTAACTTGAAATTTGAATGATTGTTATTGAAAGTTGGATGGCGGTTGCTTATATGTTTATTTTAATCGCTTTCCCACTAACCTAGACTCTGATTTTGTGGTTGTTAATTATTTTTCTTGTTGGTTAGTAGATGTAGTTGATTTCGATATGTCTATTGATTGATGCTTGATCAAAATGCTTGGTTTCTAAGAGTTTTCTAGCTTTCTTTGTATTTCTTTCGTCTAATAATTCAACTTTTCCCTGCTGAACTTATGTGTATATGCATCAATCCAGCTCAGAGATCACAACGACCCCAACATCCTCATAGTGAACTACAAGTGTCCATCAAATTTGATATTTTGATGAAGTGAGCGTCATGTGAATCACAAAATGGATCATCATTCAGTGCTTTTCAATAACTCACTTTGTTTCAAAGCAACGATCCAACAAAAATTGATTGATACATGTTATGGTGGAATCTCCCTTGCATATATTTAACTGGCGGCGTTTTTTAGTGGTAGACGTCAAATTAAGCAATAGAAATCTTGTGAAGTGAAAACAAGTGAAGTCTTTATATGTGAAGTATACCGCAATCCTCAATGGTGTGTCCAACAAAAAAGAATGTAGAACAAATACAAAAAACAGTATATTTGTCTAGGAAAACCATCAAATTGATTACTGTAGAAAGTTCTATAAATCCTTTCCACGTGTTATCTGAGGAATCGCTGTAAGATAGAAGTTTTTCAGCTTAAATTTAATTCAACCGATTTTGCAACTTACCAAACCTTTAAACCCTCAAAGACCACCAGAAACATCAGTCTCTTCGTATTTTACTGATGAAAGTAAAAAACACCAAGTGATCAAATCTCATGAAAAGAGTGTTCCAAATATCTCATGACTATTCTATTTTTAAAAGTGTCAGGTCTACACCTTCCCTTTCACACATTAATACTCCTCTAAGGTGTTGAAAGCTGAGAACGTGAGGATTGACGGAGGGAGAGCGTAATTGAATGGTTCCAACCATGTGCTATATTTACAAGTTTTACTTGATATACAATTTTTCAGGGTCTATCATTGAGTGGTGCCGATACTGAAGCAAACCAAAATGAGCTAGTTAATGCTATCAAAAAACACTGTCCAAATGTCGCACAAGAAATTCATATATGTAATGACAGTATTGGTACCTTTTTAACAGTATGTGATAAAGGTTAGTTGTTTCACTTATTTTTTTTCCCAACTTATTGATTGAAAGACGTTTATTATCACTTAAAACTTGACCAGTTTATTGGATCCCGTTACATGATCGATTGTAGGATATGATCCATTTATCACGGGGATTAGTAGTAGCCTGAACTATTTTGGTAGTAAAATCTCTGTATGATATCTCAAGGACTTTGGATTTCCGAATCAGCTTAAGTATTGTCAAAATTACGAATATGTCTTGCCAATGAGTCCTAACAAGAAAGAAATGATCATTTATTAGAACAAAATTTGCTACAAGTTTTTTTGTAATATGTTTCATGACTTTTATCAGTTTATTACGCTTACCATACAATGTATTAAAACTACGTCTTTGATCCAAGTAATCAATTTATGTAAGTGCATAATACCTAATACTCTTCAAGCGTTGTACGGTCGTTTCATCTTTAACTACGAGACCCCTTATTGGTGAGCATTCGCGACCCCGCACTCAGAAAACCTAACCCAGGACCTTCTGTTCCTCGTGTGAACGCTTAGTCTCTAAGCCATTAGGTTGGGATCCAACTGTGTTAATGTTGAAGCTCAACCAACCAATGAAATAATGCAACCAACTTTCATTATCTTCGATGGGTAACTGTCTCACACCCGACATGTTCAGCTCCTCTGATTATAGTTTCTAACTAGAACCCCTAGAGGTTTGCTCTCGAAGCTAATCACTAGTGAGCAAATGATATTTTCATTATATTTCATATCAAATTTATCACGTTTACCTTGTATCTTGTATATATAGCCGCAATAATATTAATTTCTGGAACAGGATCAATATGTTGTTATGTACGAGAAAATTTAACATTTCAACGTATCGGTGGTTATGGACATTTACTAGGTGAAAAAGGTTCAGGTATGGTTCTCGTTGCCTTTTCTCATGTTGTTGAATGGTACCCTTAAAAAACCCCAAAAAAAGTAAACTATTAAACTAGGATTCTGTTTTTCTTATTTGAGAGTCAGAAATTTTGTTTCTTACATATTTCTTTTGTAAATTAAAACAGTAGTAATAGCAGTAGTCTCATTGAACTTGTTTTTCCACCTGTGGTTATAAAGTTATACATTAATTTTTCAAAGTTGAAATCATGAGTCAATTGAAGCTAGACCACCATAGAAAACCTGGAAGCACTGGACGGCCGTTTCGTCCTATTATGGGAGCAGTGCGCATCCACGATCCTGCACTCGCAAGATTCGAACCCAAGACCTACCAGTCTCGAGCCAGAGCCCTTAACCGATAGACCACTGAGCCGGCATTCTGATTGTACATTAAGTTGAAAGAAATGTAGATTATTGATTCAGTCAACCAATGGATTTGTCTTATCAAAAGTAAGGAACAGATTAACTGTTTAGCTTGGTACAAGTATGTCATTTCAAAAGTAACTGAAATTTTCACGTTGTTTACATTTATTCAAACTAAAGGGAAAGTATATAACTTAGGGATGTATAGTTTTGATAATAAAGCTTATTTTTACTGCTAACATAATCTGCCAAATTAGCATATATTGAAGACATATATAGCACATTACTAATTAGGCGATTTAATCAACATCTTATCTGTAGCATTACGCGTTTGTCACTTCTTCAAGGAACTTTCTGTTCACTGATTTAGTTGGAGGACGTCAACTAAAGTGAACTTTGGGCACTCAAAACATGTCTTCGAATATGAAAAATCTATATTCTGCTTATCCTCTTCTTTCTGTAACTTAAGCTTGAACTAAACTGAATTACGTTTGCAATCAGCTACTGACCTCTCAGATTTGTACAAGAATGCCACTGCGTGCGTAGCAGTTTTCTGGATCGGGATCAATAACTAGTATACAGTAAACCCTTGCGTTTTACCAGACAAATATGTCATATCCTAAATAAATTTGTGTAAGTTTACTGGCTTCACTTACTATTGTGTCCGACTATGGAACTGAGCTAGGTTCTAGGTTAACTGTCAGTTCACCAAGAAGGATTAATGATTACTGGCTTTATTTATAAGACACCATGGAAATGAAAAGTGAGGTAGCTTGTGACTTCGCAAAACATTCAACCCATGAACACTAGGTTATTTTAAACCCTCTAAAATGTGATGCAGATCAACTTGCTCGGGGGAAACTCCAGTGTGATAATATATATAAATCCCTCGTCCTCGAAATTGCACAAATCTAGACCTGGTGTTCAGAGCGTTAAAGCCAGTAGCTTGATCTGATAACTTCCAGAACCTGTTCCGACTCATCCAAGCCATTAATAACGAAATCACTGTTAAGCTTAAAAGTGCCAAATAATTGTTCGAGAAGATATCCCGAATTCTCCTACCTATGTTGAAGTATTTTTCGTAACATTGTCGAATTCCAGTCTACGGAAAACTGTAGTTAAAACAAGTAAGGCTTGGTCTTTAGTTCTTAATTTGTAAATGAAATTTAAATCAGTATAATTACAGAGATAGGAAATGTAATTAGTCAGAGAAGCTAGGTGGGACATGTATAGGGAACAGTAATGAAAGGTGTGAAATAATGAATAATTTGGGTCCCTGATCATACTTGCCCATCTATGGGTATACAAATAAAAGTCATGCTGAGTCTAAGTGGTGATTCCATTTCTGCAGCATTACAGGTCGCCAGGTTCGGACGACTTTCCCGTAGATGTTTTCAAGGGTGAAACGAAGCTTCTGTCCACTGAACTGCTTAGATTGTTTAGTGGGACATGATAAACATGATATAATCTCATCTAACTAATAAAGGTACTTGGAATCATTTGTCTATTCTGATTCGAAGTTAAGAAACGTAGGAATTTACTTCATTTGTCAATCATGTGAATAAATCTAATCGAAGAATTCATGAGTTTTCGTTTATGGTATAGGTGGAATATAATATCCAAGTATTGACAAACTCCAATAAGTCCTCTATTCATTTCATTACTTTGCTAACTGGGAAAAATCTCACGCAAAACGAAAACGTAATCCAATAATTTAAGACTATTATTATGATATTGTTCTGTGCAAACATTGTACTCAAACCGTCATTCAATTATTGTTTTTCCTCCTACCTTCTCTCTCTCTCTCTATGTATTATATTAGCTTACTGGATTGCACAGAGAATGATAGAAAAACTCATTTTATCAGACGACAAAATTATAGATACTACTTATAACTTGGATAATGTACGTAGAGTTATTTATGCCTATTTTAATGTAGAAAATAATCTAGAATTACTTCAACATTTCTACACAGATTTTAGTAAAAATAAAGTTGCTGGACTATGTGAACATTTTTCTCGAAGTAAGTGACTTGTTTGGTTTCTTCTATTTGTGCTTTTGATCTGTAAAAGTATACGATCTCACAGAACAATAACTTTTCAGATCATGACACTTTTATTCATTCAAGAGACAGCCAGAGCAAATAGATGATTAATGATGCTAGAACACTACTTACGCCTGTTACTCCCAATGGAGCATAGGCTGCGCTAGAACATTAGAATTGTTATATTTCAGTTAATGTCAGTTCAAGATGAACACCTTGATCCTAACTCCAAATCCTATTTTTATATATTTTTTATATAAGCCCCCAAATGCCCTGGTACGGCCGAGAGTGGGGAGAGTCCACTCTCTCTCTCGAAATGCTCTCACATGGCCACGCGTATATAGCCTCAACTACGGAAGTCCTACTCACTGCCTTCTCGTGGCATTACTGTTGTTTACGAAATTGAGAGGACGAAAACCGAATGTCCGACGCTTTAACCGGGTTGGTGAACACAGAAAGTTCACCTAGAGGGTTGGAAAACCCTGATTCCAAACCAATGGTGCACATGGGCTGGCTACAGTATCCTGAAGGAACAAATGGCGTATGAACCTATTGTTGGTCACTGGCCACCATGGAAATGCATCTCCTCACGATGCTCTACTGCCTTGTGGGTTAGACCTTTAGGTCAAAGGCTCGGGGTGTGGGGCTCCCTAAGGAAACTACTTGTTTCAGTTTGGGCACCTGAACAACATCCCAGCCCTTACACAAATCAAAAGAGATTCGTGCGGCGCATATATATCTGGTGCTTCCTTGTACCAATATTTATGTGTTTAAATAAATAAATAAATTTTTATATAAATGTATCGTGATCTTAAAGTAATATCACAGCTTGACTCTTATAATTTGAGTAGAAATGTGCAATTTTGTTGGAGCATGGTAAGATTGATGATGATAGTATATATCATTCATGCTGAAAATGAAACGATTCAAAATAACCTCATAAGATCTCACTATCCCTATATTATAATTTGATTGTTCAAGATCTCACGTAAAAATCGTTACTCACAAACCACATTTTTACACACAAGTTAGACTTTTTTATTGCTCAATCTATAGACAAATCTAATATGTATTTGAAATCTATAATGTCATTACCTTGCTTCTTGTCTGCTGTTATAAATTGTTGTATGAGTTACTGTTATGCTTGTGGCCGAGTGGATGCCTAGATGATGTATGACTTGATGAGACCGCCAATTAGGAAGCAGTGAATTATCGGTTGGAACAGTGACACGGAACCCGTACGAGCAGACTAGAGTGCTAACCGGTCCTGCGATCTGCCTAGCCCAGCCAGTTGAGTCCAGAACACAAATAACAGCCTCAGTAGTATGAATCATTATTTACAAACATACTGGGTTTTTATACAAACCAAAGTAATCAATAAACTGATTATAACTCAAGAATCGTATGATAATAAATCAAAGATCAATATAAAGCTCATGATAAGAGAAACACGAATATGAATAGTTTAGTTACGTAACAATTGTACAATAGGAAATAGGCATAATACATTGGTCGATAAATAGACCTATAAGTTAACATTCGTAATTCACCGGGGGATATAACAGTTACCCAGTGAGCTTTCTTGTCAAGTTGATGAAGAATAGCGTCGTCATTTAGTTTATGCTGATTATTGCTGTCATTTAAGCAACAACTCAATAACTTATGGAACACATATGGTATGTTTTCGGTCAAAGTAGGCCGTGATTAACTAATGAATGGAGATAGACATTCGGACGCAATCGATATAGGCGACTAATCTGATGTGTAAAACTAATTTCTTTGCTGCTTCACTTTGATTTCACTCTTTGGTTGCTTTGTGTTTTGTCAATAAACCTTTATTCTTGATCGTTTTGTCGAATAATTGGATCGAGTGTATTGAATAATCAAATCTCGTAGTGATCTATTTGGGTTGTACTGATCTAGTTATCTAATATTTAGTGTACCATTCCAAGGGCAAACCTGTCTATTTTTCTTCTATAACAGCATCATATAGCTTCACAAGATTTTTATTCAACTTTGATGCCCCATATCTCAATACTGGTCTATTACATATATTAGTCGCGTAAACACTTGAAACCAAGCACAGTATAACTCAGATTGAAGTTTCTTCATTTTACATCGCAAAAAAATTTTCAGTCAGTCAAGCCGTGGCTATGCTAGTGAAAAAGGTCATAGGCACACATTAGTAAGATGTTCAAAATATCAGTTGAATTGAAAATGATACTTCGTTATTTACGGTCGTACTCCAGTTTTCAGTGTCATTCGTTAACCAATGAGTTTATAATCTATTAAGTACTCTTAATAAGGTCAGTCAATAAGTAATGGAATAATGTTATGTTTTAACTGAAATACTTTTAACCTCTTCTCAACTTACTCCTATACATGTTATCTATAACTAACATGTTTACCTACTTCGATTTGAGTACCTCGGCAGTATCACAGCTCTCACATAAATCAATGATAACTGCTACTGGCCTCATTTTCATTGTGTGGCGCATATGTATGTATTTGGTGCCCCCTTGTACCAATATTTATGTGTTCAAATAAATAAATAAACATGTTTACACACCTTAATTCACTTATTTCGTTAAACTTTCTTTAAATTCAATCACGAAATGAAGGTATTTCTTTTGTTTATTACGGTACAGCAAAATTATGTAATATACTATAGAGGTTCACATGAGATCAAAAGTCATATCTGTTGTGTTAGAGTTAAGAATGTGACCTGATTGTCTAAACAATAGTGCATGATGTAACCGACCTCATACTACTATTTATCCACCCCTTTCGTTGAAATTATAGCTAAACGTTTATCGTACGTTGTTATCAAGTTCAAAGATTATGTTGACAAACATTTTGACCAACCTACTTATTATGTTTTAAAATGTAATCAATATAGCGTGATATTATTTACCACTTGATTAATCAATTTGAACACTGAATCTTTTGTTTCTAAGTTGTTTACCAAATGTTTCTTCCTTTTTTTCCAGTTGCTCGAACTGGAGATCCGTCGGCTAAAGATGTGTTTTATGATGCCGGTGTTCAATTGGCCCGACATGTCAGAGCTGCCTTATATTACTATGTTATGGTAATTACCGTTTATAATAAATATACCATTTTTCATTCAGTAATACCAGTCTTCATTGTAAATTGTATTTAGATTGTAACTAAGTTATGGATGTTTTAAGAGAATTATGTTTATGAATATTAAGACAATTATGTAATAAAGATCTTTCAAAGTTGAAATCATGAGTCAATTGAAGCTAGACCACCATGGAAAACCTGGAAGCACTGGACGGCCGTTTCGTCCTATTATGGGACTCCTCAGCAGTGCACATCCACGATCCCGCACTCGCGAGATTCGAACCCAAGACCTACCAGTCTCGAGCCAGAGCCACTTAACCGATAGACTACTGAGCTGGCATCCAACGGTGTTAATGTTTAACTTCAACCGATCCACGAATTATGAGCGACCATTCACCAATTGTCTTCAGTGAGTTGTTATCTCACAACATATGTGGTGGTCTAGCTTCAATTGACTCATGATTTCAACTTTGAAAAATACTGAAATCTCCACAAAACTCCTGATAATAAAGATCTAATAATTACTGTCAGACTTTCAATGTTTTATTCTTGATCAATGTGATCAGTTATTTGATCGTGAAATTCCGATTGAGTACGGTTTTAAAATATTGATCTCTTTAGTTATTGTTATTCATTGATATTCAGTTTTATTTTTGAGATTCTTACGATTGGATCACTCCTCAAGTCATTTCAGTATTTGATCACATTTATCAAGCCATCATAACAATAAGGACAGACTAGGTATGTTATGATGGTATTAGGATTAATTCATGATCTTTAGATTACAAGTGTCTTTTTTTTTAATTCTACCAATTATGCTATAGATTCTAGCTCAAAACCCCATGTTTAAGATTTCTATTAAGTCATCCTATATAAATAAATAGAATCATTTACTCAAGTCTCTTTCTAGTTCAATCTAAACGTGTTGAAGTTACAATGAGAAACTGATAAGTCAATTGTTTCAGCTGAAGGATATTGTGGAGATCGGTTTGATTTGTATTATGTATTTTTTTACAAATTGATGTCGGTTAAGATATCATTGTAAACCAAGAGGCATAGGATAGCTTTAGACTTCAATTCACTTTGTATTGTTTGTTTGAATCTTCCCATTAATGTTTAGGACTGCAACTGGTCAGTCTCTTATTGACATATGTGTATACTGTGCGTATTGCCTCGATATAGCCCTAATTCACAAGCATTATAAGCAAAGATGGATAGTGGCTAGCAGTGGAATCCGGGACACGCGTTTCGTCCTATTTGGGAATCATCAGCTGGATGTACCCGCATCTCAGAGTTGATGTTCACTCTGGGACTCGAACTCAGTTCCGTTCGCTTCAAACACCATCGTGTTATCCACTCAGCTACTGAGATACAAGTACATCCAGCTGACGAGTCCCAAAGAGGATGAAACTCGCGTCCTGGATTCCACTGCTAGCCCTAATCCATCTTTGTTTATGTAGATTTGATGTTGCGTTTTGTTGTTCATCATCTGATTGTTATGATATCTATTTGTCTTTCATCAGATCATACTCTTTTGAATACATATTTTAAACTTGACCAGAAAATTCATCGAAAATTAATACAAAGATCACATTGGTTATTTTAATAGTTTTCTACAATTAACCAAATTACCCTCATTTTGAATAAATTGATCATTGGGTAGATTGTTATAAATAAAAACAATATATTTGTAACAACCCAATGAGTAGACAAATTAGATTTTCTGACGTTTCGTGACTTAGTGTAAGCCACTTCTTAAGAGAATAAATAACCAAATCAAAATTATATTTTTAAAGCATGAGTCAATTGAAGCTAGACCACCATGGAAAACCTGGAAACACTGGACGGCCGTTTCGTGGTCTAGCTTCAATTGACTCATGCTTTAAAAATATGAAAAAATACTAAATCTCCACAAAACCCCCTCTGAAAATCAAAATTAATCTGTTGAAATAGTATAACGAAACAGCACGAATATTAGGTGTGATCAATAAGAAAACAGGTCTGAATGAATCAATGTCATGTCATTTCGGTCAAGGTGATTTATAAGAGACATATATGTAAATTCGTGTGTGTTTATGTGTGACCTTTATAATGACAAAGGATAGAGTTTAATTTGTAAGGTAGTGGTGTGAATTGTAAATAATATCAGACTAGGATAGATAGTCCAATTAGGATGTATGGTAAGGCCTTTCTTTCTATTGAGATTAAGCGTTATATGGAACGCTTCGGCTACTCTCCTTTCTTTGTAATTGGAAAAGCCTTTTCGTAGTATTTTGATATTTTTGAAATCAATTTGATGATTGTTGAAAATGGTGTGAACTGCTATTGCCGATTTAATTTGAAGTCTATCCAGTTCTACAGGATTATTAGGAAGTTTTTTGTGTGTACTTAATGTTCTTTAGCACGAGTAAAGATATCGCCAGATAGCTCTCCAATATAGATGGCATCACAATCGACACAACCTAGTTTGTGCCCCCAAATGCCCTGGTACGGCCGAGAGTGGGGAGAGTCACCTCTCCCTCTCGAAATACTCTCATATGGCCAGCGAATATATAGCCTCTGCCACACAAGTCCTACTCACTGCCTTCTCGTGGCATTACTGTTTACGAAAGTGAGAGGACGAAAAGCGAATGTCCGGTGCTTTAACCGGGTTGGTGGACACGGAAAGTCCACCTAGGGGAGTTAGCAAACCCTGATTCCAAACCAATGGTGCACATGGGCTCCAGTATCCTGAGGGAACAAATGGCGTACGAATCAACCGTTGATCACCGGCTATCATGGGACTGCATCTCCTCACGATGCTCCACTGCCTTGTGGATCAGACATTCAGGTCAAAGGCTCCGGGTGTGGCCCCCTAAGAAAACCACCTGCTTCAGTCTGGGCACCTGGGCAGTATCACAGCCCTCACACAAATCGAATGAGATTTGTGAGGCGCATATTTATCTGGTGCTTTTTGTACCAATATTTATGTGTTTTTTAATAAAAAATAAATACAATATTACATCAAACAGATTACAGTAATTAATCCTATAAACTGAAAATCTCATTCTTACTTACCTGTTACCCCCAATGGAGCATAGGCCGGTTAGCGTTTTCTTAGCGAGTTAGTTTTCTATGGGATAAGGTCGCTAACCCCATGCCCAACCCTCCTCCTTTATCCGAGCTTCGGACCGGCAGTAGCCCTCGGCGGAGCTACAGGTGGAGTTAAAATTTCATTCTACCTTACATTATTCTTTTCATATTTTACCTCTAATATTAATCAGATTGTAGTCATGTTACATAATTCCAAGTCATCTATTCAATGTTTTTTTTCTTAATTAATACACAAACTGTTATATGAACCATATCAATAATTATTTGATTACATCAGTTATCTCCATATCATTTGTGCTTAAGCGATTGTTCTCTGATTTAACCATCGGATTCTTTAACATTTAAAACAGTACTTCATTTTTGTAAAACAAATTTATTTTCTTTTTAGTGAGTAAATTTGTGCCTTTATCTCCTCACTATTTAGTGTCATTGTAGAATTGCTTCAGCGAATGGCACTGATTTCCAGTCCCAGAGTGAACATCAACTCTGAGATGCAGGTACATCCAGCTGATAAGTCCTAAATAAGACGAAACGTGCGTCCTGGATTCCCTTGCTAGTCACTATCCATCTTTGCTTACAATGCTTGTGACTTAAGGCTATATGAAGGCAATACGCACAGTATGTATATGTGCCAATAAGAGACTGACCAGTTGCAGTCCTAAACATCAAACAAGAAATACCAAATGAATCATTCAGTTACTTTTTAATCTATGAAATATTACAAATAATCCATTATACATTGGTTAGAGTAGAGAATAATATCAACTCATATTCAGCATGGTATTACCATTAATCTGAGTTAAAGTCAATAAAGACTGACTAGGAGTTTTCATAGTCTACTTCCGGACAACATTATCATTGTCTAACTTATATAGAATTCATGAATTAGATGCTGATAATGTTGTCCAGAGCAACTATGAAAGCTATACAAATAAATTATATAGTTCAACGTACAAAACACTCAACTAAGAGACCTTTCATTCCTTTTGAATCAATATTTTTTAATACCTATTCATAGAGACTAAAGTGTAAGTAAACCATCACTATTAGCTGAAATCACTAATCAAATAATTAAATCTATGAGGAATAAAGACTACTTATATGCAAAAAATAGTTGACTAACATAATATGGTCACAGATTTCTTCATACGTTGCTTAAAACGTTAAATGAACAATAATAGTGTCAGTGGTTCACCTTTGACATACATCTACCAATTTGTTTTCGTTCTTCGATTCATTTATGAATTCACTTCACTCAAACTTTAAGTTACATAACTTCAGTTGATTGGAATTTTAATGACGAAGCAGCTGCTCAATACCTTTTGGAATTTCAATAAGTTTTTAACTTTTGGCTACCTGTCACAAAAACTATGTTTGATTTCACTTGTTTTGGTGGAGTTTTGTTCTCTGAGTTGAACTATATGCTGATCACGTCCTTCAGGAGAAAGGTGAAAGCTTCACGACCGAACCATCGAGCTCAGAGAACAAAACTCTACCACAGTCATCCACCTAAGCTACAAACCTTCTCTACCATCTCGGTTTTATACAAGCAATCGAATGAAATGGCTAAAGTATTTAATCTATTTCCGTTTCGTTGTGTATTCGTTTGACATCGTCAGTTGTAGTTAAAAATCTGACAAACTAGCTTGTATCTTGATTATCTAGTGCGTGCAGTATTAAGTCATTTAGAATAGCGACCACATTGCACCACGGTCGATAGTACTTAATCAACAACTAATAAGATGCTGGATAAATACGCCATTGGCAACTAACCAGTAATAAATCAGTTGTATGTTCCCATGTTTATTAGTCATTTCTTGAAATTTCTTTATATCGATAATAATCTGGAAACATATACTACTAATTTATATACTATCAGTATGTTTCCTACTTTCTTATTTCACCATTTTTCTCATAATAGGATTCAATGTCTCGCAGTCAAAACTTAACAGTTGTTTGCTGTGGTTCAGTATTCAAGAGTTGGGATCTAATCAAAGATGGTAATTTTTTTGTTTTGTTGAAAATTAAACTGTGATAAAAAATTCGATGGGAGTAAGTAAAGTATATAGACAACCTTGGTCAGCTTTTCAGCCAACCGGCAATTGGTGTTTGATTATGAATTGAGTTAAAATGAATAAACCTAATGGTATTACAGTTACTAAGCAGTTTTGACATGAGTAATAGACTTTGCAGACGAATCATTAAAGTTTTTGTCGCGAACTACTATGTTGATGTAAGAATATTTTTTAGTCAATAGAGTGAATAGATCTCACTCCAAAATCCCATTGGTTCATCCATTTACTTTGCTTCTGTGGAAAATCCCTTCTGTCTTATTTTCATTATTTCTTTTTTAATATTAACTTCGAATTACTTCTACAAAACTGTCGTGTAATACTGATTCTAGGAGTATTTCAACTAATGGCTCTATCGTCTAGACATTTAACCTCCAACCAAAGGGGATTAACTGATCAATTGATCTATGTTTGTTTGTTGAAGTGTTGTGGTTGTTGTAGATCAGGAATTGGATTCATTATATATAGCTGAAACTGAACAACCTTTTTTATCCATAAATCTTAGTATTCAAACATTAATGTATTCTGTTGCCTGTGCTCCTCTACGAGGGGTTACAGACGTAAGTGTTGTGAATTTATGGACTGATGCTATATCTTGATTTGGTCTCTCCTAGCTTTCTTTCAACCTACTCTTACACTGGCAAACATTACCTGTCGATGTACTTAATCTATGCCCCAACTAATTCTTCATCTGTACCCTGTACCCCTCAGTTAACTTGAACATTACTCACCTTATTGTCCCAACATATGCTGGAAATGCTTTGGAGACATTTTTGATCGAATACTGTTAGCCTCAATAGTTCGAATCGAATTAATATTATATTACGGCGAGTAGTGTGAATTACAGTTAATTTCGGTATACATTTCTGATTTATATAACTTGCCTTTTTCCTTACATATGAAATGGGTGATTAAATAATAGAAGTACCAATATGGTGATTGTCTTTGGCATACTTAATCATATCGGTCTGGATAATATCAATTTCATGAATTTCACACAACAACCTCTAGACCATAATTAACAATAATCACTATCAACACCTGGTTAGAGTAGTGGAAGAGGTTTATGAAAGTTGTTGAGTTTTCTTGGTTGTGTCACAGGCTTTAGTTAGACAACCACTGAAAATCAAGGAGCACTGAATGGCTGTTTCGACTTGTTATGGAACTCCTCAGCAGTGTGCATCGAGGACCCTATCGGTGTTGAAACTAGGACCTTCAGGTCTCACACTGAACATTTACATAGATATAAGCCATTATATTTCTATTTTTGATATAACTTGACATCGTCTTATTGTTTGACCTTTCTTTCTGTTTTAAAAAGGGAGATAATTCGAATAATTTCACGGTTTTATTCTTTATTTTAAACAGGTTTTAAAGATTTTCTGAAACCGTCTGAAAATAGCGAATGGACAGGGACCTTAGAATTAGTTCAACTAAAGCATAGTGCAGCTTATGGTGCCGCTCGTCTTTCTGTTCACTCTGATTCCAAAGTGACTATCCCTACAGACTCAGGTGTACAGTTTGATAAAATTTCGTTCGGTGTCACTTTTTAATACTTCAACATATGTGTGCATTAACTTTTATATTGTTAAGACTATAAAACGGATTTTCTTTGTAAGCAACAATAATTTCCAGGGTTTTTTTATAGTTTTTAGTATTTTTCTGTATTGTTTAGTAGTATTTTCAATTTCAATATTATTCCTCTGTGTGCTTATTTATTGGTTTGGTTTAATGAGAAAAAGCAAACAAAATTGATAGGACTTCTTTTCCTAACTCTCTTGGTTACATTAATGTATTTAAGAAACTATTGGGAAAGTATACAATGGTTACCTTTAACAACTTTTAGATGAGATTAAAAATTTTCATACTTGAAATCATGAGTCAATTGAAGCTAGACTACCATGGAAAACCTGTAAGCACTGGATGTCCGTTTCATCCTATTGTGGGATTCCTCAGCAGTGCTCGTGAGGTTCGAACTCAGGACCTACAAGTTACGCGCCAGAGCACTTAACCGTGGATGCGCACTGCTGAGGAGTCCCACAATAAGACTAAGTGGACGTCCAGTGCTTCCAGATTTTCCATGGTGGTCTAACTTCAATTGACTCATGATTTCAACTATGAAAATACTGAAATCTCCACAAAACTCCTGATATTAAGAATGTCAAGTCCATTTCTAACCAATCAGAATACGGGTGATATGAATGAATAATCTATTATTTAAGCACTTCAATTAAATTGGCGTTAGGATTAACATTTCATAGTAACGGTTTGATAATTGAATTGAAAGAATACTCTGTATTCATAATGATGATTATTTACGGAGTTAGTTCTGTAGTTTCAAACATCAAAAATTGTCAATGCATCTTCACGAATAATGTTAATATACTGTAAAGACTTTAGTTCTACCTGTTTTGTTTATCCGCGTGAAAAACTGGTCATTTTCCCATCATTATTTCAAGAATCTCTCAAGTTTGTCCTTATTTATTAGTCATACTATGTATATCAACTTTAATCGTCTTAGTAACTGGTAATAAGCTCAATCTTGACATTTTGTAGGATTTCGATACAGTGGATCAGTTAAAAATCTCCGATTGATGAATGGGAGTGATCACCATCGCTCGTCACAACAGATTGTAATTACATTTCAATTGTGTAAATGCATCACACATAATACTGTCGGTTCCCAAGTCTCTTCAACGTCCTTATTCTTTCAGTAAACATTAGATCCTACAATCAGTCCTATGATTCCACGGTGATAATAATAAGTACTCATCCAGTTATAATCGCTATATCCCCATCTAAATGCTAGAATTCCTAGTTATTTATTTCGGTTTCATAATCGTAGTCAGTATATCTTATAAAATTTCAGATGCATTTAAAGAGATTTCTTTGTAGTTTGATTTAGACACATTTGTAACTGTATCATAATAGATAAATAGACCTAACTCTTGGAGTGTAGGACAACACTTTACTCTTTGATTTAGCAATAATAACTAAAGCATACTCCAATAGAGAACAGTGAATCATTGCTAATACATCACTCAAGACTCATATTTTATTAATTATTATTATTTTAATATAAGAATTAGCACACAACACAATAATGAGAATGAAAGATCAATTTACTTTCCATAACGAACAATACGAACAGCTCGTTTCGGTGAATCATTGGCAAAATTTGGATTGTTCATTAGAATTTGTCTCAATCTATTCATTTTTTTTGTATCTGATCTACCAACTCGTGGAAATAGTGTAGAACGATCTTGTCGATAAAATGTTACCATATTTTCTGGTTCTTCGTTTATTATGTCATCCAGATCATCAGAATCGGTAATACTATCTAATGAATTTATTGAGGAAACTAAAACTTGATGTAAAAAAAAGTTTTGAAAATTAAGGGAATACAGAATTTATTTAAGGAATTAATCAATTTATTATGATAATCAATGAACTTAAAGAAAAGAAACCATACAACTACTTATCAACAGGCTTGAACTGAGAAATGAGCCTAATTTTTGGTGGTTTTATTTATTTATTTAAACACATAAATATTGATACAAGGAAGCACCAGATACATATGCGCCGCACGAATCTCCTTTGATTTGTGTGAGGGCTGTGATACTGTCCGGGTGCCCAGACTGAAACAAGTGGTTTCATTAGGGTGCCCCACACCCCGAGCCTTTGACCTAAAGGTCTAACCCACAAGGCAGTAGAGCATCGTGAGGAGATGCATTTCCATGGTAGCCGGTGACTAACGATTGATTTATACTTCATTTGTTCCCTCAGGATAGTGGAGCCAGCCCATGTGCACCATTGGTTTGGAATCAGGGTTTTCCAACTCCCTAGGTGGACCTTCCGTGTCCACCAACCCGTTTAAAGCGTCGGACATTCGCTTTTCGTCCTCTCAATTTCGTAAACAAAGGTAATGCCGTGAAAAGGAAGTGAGTAGGACTAGTGTGGCAGAGGCTATATATTCGCGTGGCCATGTGAGAGCATTTGAAAAGGGAGAGCGGACTCTCCACTCTCGGCCGTCGCTCACTGCCGTGGATTGATTGAATTTAAACATTAAAGCCGTTGGATTCTGACTCACTGATCTAGGAGTTTAGAGTTGAAGCAAAACAAAGGTTATGAGTTCGATCGCCGCGTGGAGGATCGTGGGTGTGCACTGCTGAGGAATCGCATACTAGGAAGAAACGGTCATCCAACGTATACGTGTTTTCAATGTTGGTCTGACTTGGTTCGGTCCATGATCTCTATGAGAATCACGCAATTTTTTACTGGGCATTTGATCATTTCTTATTTTGACTGTAGGAAAGACTAACTCTAGTAAAATTGTTTTAATTTGCTTAGTTTAACTGGTCATCTGTATTTATTGATGGATCTGAATCGTATTGAATCCATTGTTTGGGGAATTTATCATTCTATGTGCATTCACAGTACCGTTTTCCAGTAACCCTTGGTATTTTCTTATTATTTATTGGATTTTACCGAAATAAATATTGATATTTTGTATGTACATATTCTGTTCATCTGTGTTTCCCTATATCTCATTGTTTGGCATGGCTAGGGTCCATACAAAAATAGATGGTAGCCCCAAGTTAAATGACTGTTTGTTTGCTCTGGATACTAGGCTTTGGTTTAAGAAGAAAAATTGGGACCACAGAAGAAGCAACAGGATTGAAAAGACTGAAACTTATTAAAAAACAGTTAATTGATAACCTAGCGTTGCACAATCTGAAACAATCAATAGATAGAAGCATCTAGTCTATAATTAGCTCCACATCTCTTGCCTCCAGCCGACTCGATATTTTTGAAGAGTAAACTTATCGTACTGGTGCACAACGTTTACATGGATCACCAGCAGTTGACCAATCCGTAGACGTTAGTAGTCTCATTTTCGTAGATATCACATTTGTTAGAGTGGAACAAAACTGACAAGATGAAGTTAAATGTGTTACACCAGAAATACTTTTTCTCTCACTAGTACTAAAGTCTTGTCTCATAAAACTGAAGCACTTGGAACAAATAGTTACCAATCCAAAGAACAAGATCTGTTTGTCAGTTCAGTTCTTATTTTAATAACCCAAACGGTAAAGCGAATGTGAATTATTTCAGAAAAATACATCTTGATGTATATCAGCCATCAAAGACATGAATAAATGCCTATTAAACAATGTAATTACACGAAAACTGCTGCACACGATCGACCTGAAACTTTTAAAGCACTCGTTGGGCGAAACTTAGACAGTTCAGCTACTTAGATACCATGACATTGCATTATATACAAACAGCTATTAACTATATAAAGCTAACTTTCAAGTCGAGTCGTCTACAAGTGTAAAATCACGCATCAGCACTTAGCAGCAGCTTTGTTCTTAGTGGTATTCAGAAGAAATGCAAATCAGTTGAAACCACTATCCCAAAAGATAACATATCCCTCTTAGCTATCTATTCGTACCAACTGAAGTTATCTTCGTCAGCTCTTGATTCTATGGGTAGGTTGAATATTACACTGTATTCGATTGTTTTTATTCCTTTGAACTTATCTTGAATGTGTAAGATTTTTCAACCTTTGGATGGCTCTCGCTATTGGTTGGATTTAATTGAAATATATGTGAATATATTGTAGTTGAAATCTAAGGCTACTGCGCTTCAATTCACTCAATATATTCAACACGAAATTACTTTAACCGTTCAATTTCAGTGTCTCAATTGTAGTGAATATGTTCACTAAGTTTATTCAACAAGGTTTTCTGATGAAATAAAGTACTTCAGGTTACAATTAATGAATAGTTAACCTACCTGATGTTGTGAATCAGACCTTTAGGTCGAAGGCTTCGAGTGTGACCCCCTAAGAAAACCATCTGTTTCAGTTGATCACCCGGGCAGTATCTTAGCCCACATAAAATCAAGTGACTTGTGTGGTGCATATGTATTCGGTGCCCCTCTGTACCAATATTTATGTCAAACAGAATTATTGTATAGTTGAATTCATGAGTCAATTGAAACTAGACCTCCATGAAAGTACTGGATGACCGTTTCGTTCTAATGTGGGACTCCTTAGCAGTGCTCATCCACGATCCCGCCTCGCGAGATTCGAACCCAGGACCTATCAATCTTACGCGCGGTGGTCTAGTTTCGATTGACTTATGAGTTCAACTATAAGACTACTAAAATCTTCACAAACCTCCTTCTGATGAGAATCACTATATTTTTGTGATACAGTTTATACTGACATTTTTTAGTGATAGTAAGTGCTAAAACCTTATTTCAGGAATATTACTTCCTACTATTTAATTCCTAAGACGTGGAGTTTTGTGTTCTGATAAAATGATGGGGCAGTTGAATAGTACATGGTACTGTAGATCAATTCGAGATAAGCCAAATAATAATTGAGAGATCTTGATGAGTTAAGGCTATTAGTCAAAACTTGCGTTAATTTTCCAAGGAAACAGATATACACTACTGACTGAAAACATAGCTCAATTTTCTCTGAATAGAACTCATCCACATATATTTTTTATTCGGAGTTTTCCAACAAAAGTTCGTAGTTTTTTCACTCAAATAGTTCATTTAGGCTCATGTATAGAAGGCTTTCATATTAGTCTAAGACTTGAACGACTTCACAATATAACCATAGAGCACTAGTGACTGGCTCCATGAGGTAATTCCTGGAGTTCTAGTGAGAAGTGACCAGTGGAGCTAATCCATGTCAGGTGGAGACAGGTATTTACCTCAGTACAATGGAAGATGGTCGCGCAATTTCGTGGATTGGTTGAAGTTAGACATTAACATTGTTGGATTCCGGCTCAGTGGTCTATAGGTCAAGTGCACTGGCGCGAGACTGGTAGGTCCTGGGTTGGAAACTCGCGAGGCGGGATCGTGGATGAGCACTGCTGAGGAGTCCCACAATAGAACAAAATG